TTCGATTTCAATGAAAGACATCCAAGTTAAATTTCACTAAACCTGATATTGCGTTGGATTGTCTGTAGTTATCTTTCATTTTTAAAGTAAAATTAACCAGGAATTCAAAGCTTAATAATGTCGGCCATGGAAAACTTTGTCGAAGAATTTTCCAAGAACAAAACTAGCCCCTGGGGGAGGTGGTGAGTTGTGTAAAAAAATCCTTAGTGGGAGAGTATACTCGCGCAAAGAAAACAATGTAGTGCGTTTCGATTCGATTTCACTGCATGGATTTTATTATGGGAGTCAGTATCTTCATCTTAAATACAAATTAATTTTTTCCCGATCTTATTTTTACCTAGCCTGCGTCACATCCGGAATTTTCTTCGTAAATACCGTATATACGAAGAAARTTCCGGATGTGACGCTGGCTAATTTTTACCTTTCTGATTCATTCAAATTGGGCTACCTGTGACTTTAGTATCGGGAGCTCCGCTTTTAGGCAGTGCCTAAATATATATCATAATAAACAGAAAAATACATGGCCGCTTGGAGATATGGAAGTTACCTTCTCGTATTCAAATTTGATATCTCACTCGTTCGCTGCCCTCACTCGTGAGACATCAAATTGAACACTTGAAGATAACTTCCATATCTCCGCGCGACCATGTATTATTCTCTATTTATCATATAATTATCCATAAAATACCTATATTTCTCCTTTTCGAAAAATTGCTATTTTCACATGTGAAAATATCGTTACCATGTGTAATTAAGTTATTAGTTTATGAATAAAAACCACTACATTCACTATTTACAACATACGCCACTCAACTAATATGTTGATTTTTATGGAGAGAAGAAAACCAAGACACCCTGAGAAAAACCCTCTTGGCAAATGAGATAACGACACAAACTCAGCTCACATCATATGTTTTTTAGTCGAAACTCAAAACGCTGTGATAAACATGTAGCGCTAGCAGCGCACGCCAACCGTGCTACCCTAATCGAGTTAGATGACATTCGTATCTTTTTATTTTATTTATTTATTTATTTGTTTAGGGGGGGGGCGGGGGCGGGGGAGGTTTTCAAGGGTGCAAGGTATATTGATTAAGAGGTAGAGCAATCGTTATGTAACATTTTGACTTAACACGTACTGGGTGTACTGATGCCTGAACTTACCTTGACCTTTTGAAGGACTTATTTCCGCCAGCGACCTGTATTCTTGCTAAATATTAAGGGGTTTTGATACTTTTTGCATAATACATAGGCTTTGTCGTATTTGTTCTGCTCCACGGCGCTGTGTGATATTGAGAAGGCACGTTTTGTGCCAGGGAGGGAGGTTTAACAAGTACGTGTTTAGCCGTCTCTGTTTACAAGGACGAAGGGTAGCTCTAGTACTGAATAGATTTAATAACTTGCGGGTTTACAAGTGGAAAAAATACAGGTGGGTAACATAAACTCTAGTGCCTGGAGAAGCTACACGATGCGTCTGGTTAGCAATCAACAGACATGAAATGATAAATTACAAGATTTTGCTGGCATTTTATTTGCAATCATACACCAGTTATAACTGGGAGTCCGTTATCTTCAGTCCCAATGAAGAACCAGTAAATRACATCATCTGTACCTGTCATTATATATACAAACCAGTAGTATCATTTTATGTATTGCGCTCTTACTATCTATATTTCTCACTTCCCTTAACTCATTAGTCTATTCGAATAAAACCTTCACGCAACAAGCGTCTTTAGAGTCCTACTTAATATGAATGAAATGGTCGCTGACAGGCAGAATCAATACCAGTACTCACAGGAAGTCGTTCGGGTTCAAACCTCGTCTAAAGCTTGGAATTTATAAGATATATAAGATATATGAAATTTTTTTTCCCCTTGTACCATTTCGGTCTCGGCTTCTGAGCATATTCTGTGTTTTTTGAACCTAACCGTGATTTTGAAATTGAGTTTATATAATCAGAAATTGGCCCCATTTTGTTTGCTTGGCTAAATCTAGCTAGTTATGGTTCGGCTCACGTCATCAAAATTGACGCAGTTGAAGTTCCGCACAGGCAAACACTTATCTACCCAATAAAGCGTGGCTAGTGTATTTGGTCTTAAAACTTTGCTGTTCTAGTGAGCTTTGAAATCAAGGAATGTCGATCTTCCTTTTCTTCCTCTTCTATTTTTTCTATTTTCTTCTTCTTCGTCTGCTTTAATTTATTTTCATTTTTAACGCGGTCACGCTTCCACATCTAGCTGAGGTACAACCAGGCAATTCCAGTTCTAATAAGAGTATATAAATGCCATATAAATACCTGTGTCTCATTTTCTCACTGGACTCTAAAGGCGTCCGCTTAGGTTTGGGAAACGTCAGTCACCACCAACAACAGACTTTCTCAAGACTACACTCACCCGGACGATCACATTTCACACCAACTAGTTCTAATTCCACCGACAATAAAATAGAAGAAAACAGCGAAACAAATGCTGCTGAATCAAGGACAACGAGAAAAGAGAACAGACAAAGAGCCAGATTGCGAAGAAGAAAGAAAAATGCTAATCATCGGTCTGCTCTTGAGCAACAGCGAAGCGACATGAAAAAATACTTTCATGAACCGTTAAGCAAAGATGCAAGAGCAGCAAGTGAATACAATGAACATTTTAGCAGGGGAACTGAAAACCGCAAAAAGTAACTAATTTGAATATGTCGACGTGCTTTATTTCGCTCCAATCAGTAACATGATTAAGAACTGGTCTATATTGAATTGAGTAAAAACTTATAATGAAACTCTTTTAGAACATCCCTTATAGCATCTATCCCCATCACGAATCACGTAGTTGTTCGCTGCGGCTAGGGCAATGATCATCATCACCTTCGTCGTCCCAGTTATCACCGTTTCTGAGGCAAAGATTGTATAATACTGCACATGCTACAGCGTTTTTTATAGCAAACTGTATACTGATGTCAAAACGCTTCTGAAGACTACCCTATCGATTTTTAAGAATACCAAAAGCGTATAGCAAACTGTATTGCTGTCAAAACGCTTCTGAAGACTACCCTATCGATTTTTAAGAATACCAAAAGCGTATAGCAAACTGTATATTGCTGTCAAAACGCTTCTG